CCAAAAGAAATCTATTTCCGAGAGGTTCGTCGATGTGAAGGGTGTGGGTGTAGGTGTGGGGTGTGGATGTGAATGAGCGTAGAGGTGCACCAAGCCTAAACCCAGTCAAACCCAAACTCTGGGTTTGACTATGTTTGGGTTTGGGTTTGAAAAAGTTTCACTAGGTTTCACTAAGGTATGACTGGGTTTGGGTTTGATGTATATCACGTAAAGATTAGATTTTCGTGGATGTTTGTAAAACAAGCGAACAACACCCACGAACACCCTTAAATCGAGAGCTGATATTATCAGTAGATAGAGCTCGCCAAGTTGACTCCATGAATACTCACGAATACCCATGTCACTTGACAGTGAGTAGCCCTACTCGAGTTAGGCACATATCCAAAATTTTGGCCTTTTATGTGCTTGCATAAAGAAAATAGCAGGGATCGATCTTTTCAATTTTAAACCTAGTAATCGAATTCTGAATGTATGAGTGAAATTAAAGTATGAGGCTTAAAATTGAAAAGGTCGATCCCGGGTATTTTTTTATGAGAGCACATAAAAGGCTGAAATTTTGGGTATGTACCTAATTCGAGTAGGGCTACTCACTGTCAAATGATACAGGTGTTCGTTGATTAAAAAAAAATCAGTGTACATTGGAAAATTTTTTTATTGTTCAACCGTTTTGGGCGTTCGTGGAGTCAATCCAGCGAGCTCTGTCTACTGATAATATCAGCTCTCGAGTTGAGGATGTTCGCTTGTTTTACAAATATACCCACAAATCTAATCTCTACATGATACATATCAAACCCAAACCCAATAAAACCCAGTCAAGGCTAAAGTTTGAGTTTGACTGGGTGTGAGTGTGGATGTGGATAGATGTGGGGTGTGGATGTGGGTGTGGGTGCGCGTGTGGATTGTGAAGTCCCACAAGCATCTATACTCACACCCATCTTCATATAATAGCCCATGGAAATCTATGGGTACCTCCATATAATAGTCCTTGGGGATCTATGGGTACCTTCATATAATAGCCCTTGAGGATCTATGGATACCTCTATAGTATAGCCCATGAGGACTTCTGGGTACGTCCATAGAATAACCCGTGAGTAGGGTGTGCGGGTGGGTGTGGACGTTACTTAAAAGTTCAATCCATTCAATTGGAACTAGCGGGATCCGACTCCTATCTTGTCGTATCCTGTGATCGGATCCAAACTCCATAGCCGAACTTCAAACAGCCGGATCTGGGCTTCGTAACCAGACCAGAAACTACAGTATACGGCTCGTATCCTGTCGCCGTCATAAGTCGCTGGAACCGTACTGGAAACAAGCATCCGTATCCGGCCATCGCTGCCGGACTCCGGAACTCACGGGAATTAAGCAGAAAACGAAGGCCAGAACTGATTTTGGAATACTGCTACCCTGAAATCGCTGAAAATTCACCTGATCAAGCGGTTTCCTGCCGTACGTCTTGGACCTGAGTGGTGTAGCATCAGTATGCGAAAAATAATAAATTGTCGAATCAATTATCTATGAGTGTAGTTCTGTTTGCCATCTATATCCACAATCACACCCAATTCGTCACAGGATCATTCGTGGCACAAACATTTCTTTGCAATCACATGAGCCAATCAAAATTAATATCTATATTTCAATGGTCAGACAACTCATTTGATTAAGTTTGACTAATGTAATTCAATGCCCATAAGAATGATGAGAAATACAGCTAATGACTAAACTTTGATTTTTTGATTTCGGCATGTCGACTACAAAGAATCCTAGCAAGGGAAACAGTCGAATTTGTCTCCTCCATAATTAATATTAATAGGATTTCAAAAACCTTCGATTACAATGTATCATCAGAATTCTTCTTGACATTCTATGAATCAATAACTCAATTCGACTAGTTCTATATATATATATATACAATGGTTTGCAAAAAAAGCTTGGAACAAATGTTTAGCTTGTATTAGGAACTAGTTCAACTTCTTCCAAGAAAAATATTTCTCTGTTAAAAGAATATCAGTTGACAGTTTTAGAGCAGCTGATTCGGGATTTTATTGCTCTTCCTTTTAATTCTAGAACTGCAAGATATCTGAGTTTTAGGCTATCAATAAAATGAATTACAACTTTTTCAACATTAATAATTGAAACAATGCAATTAGCGTGAAATTATGCTATCGAAAATAATAAAACTAAATCTTTCACATCAGTAATCGAGCGATTATTTAAGTACCACTGAATTATTTCGTCAAAAGCATGGATCTGGTTTTAGGCATTATTCAGGATGAAGAATTCGTTTCCGATTATTTAATCCTCGGTATTTTAGAAGCCTTTAGGATCTAAGCCTTTCAAATCAGGAACTAATTCTATATAACAGTATCTTCATTGATCGATGGAGTTTTCTAACAAAGCAAATTCTCATGTTCTAATAATATAATGTAGATGTATCATTTGCTTCGAGACTATGTACCATTATTATCTCAGATTAGTATCATACTAAAATAAATTAGAATCGAATCATATATATATATAGATATTATTTGTAGCTAATCTGCTTAGTATAGACCTGCAATAATTGCAAAACAAAGACTCGATAGAGTTTAGCAAGCATTACATCTTTATATAGTAAGACTGTTCCACGCTTTTTTTGCTAACTATTGTTTATATGTATACAATAACACGCGATGGTCCCTAAAATAATAGAATTTTAATATCAAACGCGAAGATTCGAAAATAGAAATTCGTTAAAAGTTTTTAATGACTTTAATGCTGCTCTTCTTTATTGAACGCTAAATTTTGTTAGTCTTTCCAAGGTATTTTCTCATTGTCAGAAATCTTAAACTGCAGCATAAATTTAAAAAAATGTGCATTTCTACTTCCACTACTATACGAAAACTCTCATCACTTGTATAGCTCGAATAAACTAACTTCTTATCGGCAGAAGAAGGCTCTTATACTGTACCCAATCCAAAATCGAAGTTTAGTTATTAGTTATATTTCTAATAATATCTATGTTCATCGAATTACATTTGTCAAACTTAAATGAATAAGTTGCTTGATTGTTGAAAAATAGATAATTACTAATTTTGACTGATTTATGTTATTGTAACGGACTGTCTTTCAACGAATTGTGCGTGCGACAATTTGTCCTAGCATCGTTTTGTAGAAAGTGAAAAACTGCGTCGATCTATGTTATTAATCTTGACGTCCACATTAAAATACAACAAAAATTATAGACATTACCATTATCATCCAAAACACTGAATATCTACAAAAAAACCTATAGATCTCGAAATAAAGTAATCTTCGAAAAACTTTTTTTTCTGTCCAAGAAAAAAGAAAACTGAATTTACCAAAAGATGTAGAACTTCAAACTCTGTCTTTCTATCATATTGAAAATGAAGACTAAGAGGTGGCAGATTTAACATAAAATCTTTCGGTATGGTTTAAATAACTCAGATTCCGTTAGATTATCAAATGTAGCTCCATAAAATTTTTTTACAACCATAGAGAGATCATCTATTTGAATATTTTTTTCGGAAATCGTTTGCAGAATCTGAAAGATATTGATTTAACATAAGTAAACAAATAGAAGTCTCTTCAATTGAAAAATTCGTAAGATAATGATAGACTTGTGAATGTCACTACGGGTGCAGATGTGTTGCTGCGATGTGCATGCGGACCCAATGGGTACTGTGTATCTTCCTCCCAGTGTTGCTAAGCTGACTACCACAGATGCACTGATATCCCACCTCACATCAATGGTCATATCCATACTCGCACTCGCACGCGCCCCATCGCAATAGCAACTTCCGAGTTACTAAATACAAGTGGAATTTACAGCATCGCTCTTACAAACACCGCAACTCCGATTCAACTTCTCCATCTCAAGAAAGAAAATGATGAGGCTCCTCATCAAAACTAATATTTCAAGAATTTTATTTTTGCAGAATAAAAGATAAAACTACTAAAATCTGTTTCTTAAATTTTCAATGATTATTTTCACAAGTACCAAATCAGGATGAGTAGAAGACACTGACTTTCTCAAAATCTCAAGTGATCTTTCTAACCATGAAAGTGCTTTTGAGTACTCGCCCATGTGATAATACACCATACCGATGCTGTTGCAGGAAGTAGCTAAGCCTGGATGATTCGGAGGAAGAGCTATTTTTCGGATTTCAAGTGATCTTTCGTACAATGAAAGTGCTTTCGAGTACTCGCCCATGTGATAATAAACCAAGCCGATGTTGTTGTAGGAAGTAGCCAATAAGGGATGATTCGGAGGGAGAGCTATTTTGAGGATTTCAAGTGATTTTTCATAGGATGAAAGTGCTTTCGAGTACTCGCCCATGTGAGAATACACAGAAGCGATGTTGTTGTAGGAACTAGCCCAGTTGGGATGATTCGGAGGAAGAGCTATTTTTTGGATTTCAAGTGATCTTTCGTACGATGAAAGTGCTTTCGAGTACTCGCCCATCTTATCACACACTGAAGCGATGTTGTTGTAAGAAGCAGCCAAGTCGGGATGATTCGAAGGAAGAGCCATTTTTTGGATTTCAAGTGATCTTTCTAGCGATGAAAGTGCTTTCGAGTACTTGCCCATGTTATCATACACCACAGCGATGTTGTTGTAGAATTGAGCAAAGTCGGGATGATTCGGAGGAAGAGCTATTTTTCGGATTTCAAGTGATCTTTCGTACGATGAAACTGCTTTTGAATATTCGCCCATGTGATAATAAACTAAACCGATGTTGTTGTAGGAAGTAGCCAATAAGGGATGATTCGGAGGAAGAGCTATTTTAAGGTTTTCAAGTGATATTTCTAGCGATGAAAGTGCTTTCGAGTACTCGCCCATCTTATCATACACCATACCGATGTTGTTGTAGGGACCAGCCCAGTTGGGATGATTCGAAGGAAGAGCTATTTTTTGGATTTCAAGTGATCTTTCGTACGATGAAAGTGCTTTTGAGTACTCGCCCATCTTATCATACACCATACCGATGTTGTTGTAGGGTTGAGCAAAGTCGGGATGATTTGGAGGGAGAGCTATTTTGAAGATTTCAAGTGATCTTTCGTACGATGAAAGCGCTTTCGAGTACTCGCCCATGTTATCATACACTGAAGCGATGTTGTTGTAGGAAGTAGCCAATAAGGGATGATTCAGAGGGAGAGCTATTTTTTGGATTTCAAGTGATCTTTCGTACGACGAGAGTGCTTTCGAGTACTCGCCCATGTGAGCATACACTGAAGCGATGTTGTTGTAGCAATTAGCCAATAAGGAATAATTCGGAGGGCGAGCTATTTTAAGGATTTCAAGTGATCTTTCGTACCACGAAAGTGCTTTCGCGTACTTGCCCATGTTATCATACACTATAGCGATGTTGTTGAAGGAAGTAGCCAAGTTAGGATGATTCGAAGGGAGAGCTATTTTTCGAATTTCAAGTGATCTTTCGAACGATAAAAGTGCTTTTGGATAGTCGCCTCGTTGATGTTCGATTTTTCCTTGGCTATTCAGGGCATTCCCTCGCTCTATGTTCGTGGAAGATGTGGCTAGTAGGTGATCACAAATTTCCTGCGCTGTTTGGTAGTGGTGAAGGGTGAGCATCAAGTGAACCATGCGATTCCAGCCATTCTCGCTGATATCATGCCGTATAGAGTGTGTAAGAATAGATAGTTTTGGATCATCGTCGTGGGTGAGTATGAGTTGTACTTCGTACAGGTTGGGATTGTTGAGGACCTGTTTGATTTCGTTGACACGAAAAATCGTATGCATAGAAAAGAGGATTTCTTCTTCGTCCTGAAAAGAACCCATTGTTTGGACGTTGGCGAAGGGAGTTCTTGAAACTGAAGGTGTGATATTCATTATGAAAAGTATACCGACTAAGTTAGCGTCTGATATGTTACTTTCGGCGAATGCTAGGGATACGTCTTGATTTCGGCTGGTGGATAAAAAGTTGTTAAATGAGAGGAGACCACCCTTGGTTCTTTTAAATTTCTGAAAATCAGCTTTGGATAATCCTTGTCCTCGGTATACGGTAAAAGGTTCATTGTTTGTTTTTGTAGACTGTTCTTTTTGTAGTTGTTCGAGTTGGCAGTGAAGATCTCGAATGAAAAAACTCATTTTCTTCATTGTTAGAGTATCCAATGTTCGAAGTGACCGATTAACCGTCTGGTAGATGAAAAAGTCACGAATATACCAGGAAATTGACGTCTCAGGACTGTAATTCTTCTCGAACTCACTGATAGTATCCAACGTTGTCTTATTGTTGTTAGATTTTTCCCGCCAAAATTGAATAAAATCTGTGATTTCTTCTTGTGTATGATTGACTTCAAGCGTAATTTCTTTAAATAGCTGTGTGTACATAAATGAGGGTTCTATTTGATCCAGATTAATTTTCAAACTATCTTCGTCGATGCTGACAAAGCTCATAGCGATATCGTTTTTGTAACATCGTTTGATGGCATCTAGTAGTGCTTCACAGAGACGGTTGATATCTGTGTGCATACCTTTCATTTTGCTGGAATTCTTTTTCCAATCGTGTATTAGGGATTCTGTGCTGCAGAATATATGCACACTCAGAAGATTAGAAATATCATCCACGATAGGTATAATGTGTTGGTCTTTAGGATTTGACAGAATGAGAAATGCCTTTTGGTCATTGGTGTTAGTGAGAAAATCTATACCTTCATCAGATGTGGTGAAAATATATACTTGATCGGTCACGTGTTGCAGCTGTGTAAGTGTATTTTTACATTTTTCATTGTTTGGGTGAATATTCTCGTCGATCCAGATAATTACATAGCCTTCAATCATGCATTGTGTTGGTTCCATAACACGCGATAATGTCGTTGCAGTTGTTACGGCATCAGTTATGGATGTAGAAAGCATTTCATTCTTCTTTTGCTCATCCATTTTGAATTTATTTGCCACTTTATTACTAACCAACAATTGAGAGAAGTTGTTTGAAATTCAGTCAGAAATATTTTTTTTCTATTGATCCGATAAGAGTCGTTTTTCTTGACTTTTTTACAACATCAAATGTGCTTTTATTTGTCGACGTTTGATATCGAATTTAAGTAGTCGTAAAAGAAAATTATGTTGTAAAGAAAAAAATGATAAGGTTATACAGTGTCGTAGTGTATTGTATTGCTGCTCTTCGGCGATTTATAAAGAACCATTTTTTTCCCTGATAAAAACGAAAAAACAACACTGTTATGTGTGCTTTGATTGTTTTCTTCTTTCTAAAGATATTATAATCATCCAAACGAAAAAATCACATATCAGTCTTCTTTCAGATCAGAATTGAAAACTTAATTTTCTGTTGACTCAATATGCGATTTGATGCATTCTATTAGTTTTCAGGAAACTCTTTTTTTTGTGGACTTTATTTGGAACAGGGCATAATGACATAATGGACATAATGGGCATAAATTGGATTTCCAGGAAACTCCTTTTAAATCCTCGAAAAGAACCTACCACGCGTCTCGAACAGCTCCTCCAAAACTATAAACGAAACTCTACAGCGAACTAATAACCACTAAAGTGATGTAAACCATTTTCCGTGCAGTCAGAGTCCACTTTCCACGATAACATTTGAACTTTCAAACAATACTTCTACAATTCCTCGAGTAGAAGTCCACTTTTCATAGCATTCACATCAATGTAGACGTGATTACATGTCTTCGGAGAGTTTCCTCAAAAACTCAATTCAATACCGACGCAGAAGATACAGTAAATAAAGAAGATGTAGGATATGAAGGAGATATAGAGATATGGATGGCGGAATGTTCGCCAATAAGAATTTCGTCAATAAGACATTCATCAATGGCGAAAGTCCTGGGGATATATTGACGAAAGTACAGTGGACTTTCGCCCATTGGCGAAGTTCTAGGGAATGTATTGGCGAAGCTATAGTGGACTTTCGTCAATTGGCGACAGCCCAGTGGTATATTGGCGAAACTCCATGGAATGTATTGGCGAAATTCCATGAGGTGTATTGGCGAAAGTATAATGGACTTTCTCCAATGGCGAAAGTCTTATTGGCGAAATTCCGGAATCCCAGAGATATAGGAGATATAGTAAACAGTTATTTATTTATTTTGATTGTTTCTTCGAGCAACCATCGATAAGTTGCATGAATATATCAGAATAGAATACTATTAAAAGTCAAACGCTATTTACGGATTATCTGTACTGGTTACCCCATATCTTCTATATCCCTGTATGGCCTATATTCCTAAATCTCCTACACCTCTACATCTCCTATATCTTCCATACCTTCTCCGTCGATATTTAATTGAGTTTCTGGGAAAACTCTCACAAAGCATCGTATAGCAGGAATACGAGGTATTAGAGGGTACAGGAGGTGCACAGTTCGTATTATTTTATGCTAGGGCTACTATAAAGCAGACACATCTATCCATGATTCCAAAAATAATCTCTCAATATTAAATAAAGGTAAGACTACAAATCCGTTAAAGAAAAATTCTTCCATATATTTTCCAGAAAACCACTTATCCCAGAAAATGCAAGAATTCGTCTCCAAAACAACTCTACACCCAACGAATTGAAAACAAAACAAAAACAAAGCACCCAATAATCCTTTGCCACGTTTATCATGTAATTCTATGAGAGCTACATCAGCTCTAATCTTTCTAGATTTTCTGAATCGGGTTCCTCCTTTCAAAGCCACTAGAGTATGACCAACACCGCAACAGTTCAACTAAACCATCCTCACGCGCTACAACTACTTTCACAGCACAACTCCAAATATGATACGTATGTGAGAACATCTCTGACCAATGTCTGACAAGACAACCCGACAGTCAACTACCAGGACGCTCTCGTGGACTTTACACAGCATTCATAGCATGCACACATGCTCAGGTGTCCTTTCCAACTGTTGTAAACCGTCTCATCATTCTCCCCATACACAGGTCAGCTGCAACCTTGTAGACCGCTTACCAGGTACTCCAATCACGAAACCCACAGAGCCCCTGAGGTAACGTGTATTCTATTGTTCCCAATACTTTCACGACGAATCATTTCTTGGCCACTTCTTTCGCGACACCCCAGGGCGGCCATATCTTAATTTTCAAATGGGGTGTACCAGATTTCAAATGGGGTACTCTTGGGGTACATTTTTTTTACAATGGGATACGTCATTGAGGTACATAACTTTTTATTGAAATAGAAGGGTTAATGTGGAAACACTTAAGGGGACACTCCCCCCCCCCCCCTTCCCGACCCCAAAATTTTAAATTTTTCTTTTTTTGTTTTTTTTGCTCTACATGTGTTTTCAAGTGCCCCTCTATCTACTGGTAACGTTTTGAGAACTCAAATATAGCTCTAAAGCAAAAATAAAATCGAAAACATAAATCGATTGCCGTAGGGGTATAGCACGATTTTTTCTTTCCTTCGCGGTTTTCTAGAAACCAGATTTTTCAGCAAAAATCTACAGAATCGCCCCCGTTTCTCAGGAACAGTAAATCCGATCGAGCTGAAATTTTTTCTACAGATAGTAGAAACACTTTAGGGGGGCTACCCTTTTTTGTTTTGAAAAATATTGTACCGTTGAGTTTTGGCAGGCCTTACAAGACAAGCGCTATTCAAAAAAATATGGGTTTTTTAGGGTGCTCTTGGTATTTTGGCTTTTTTATTCGAACGGTAAGTGATAGAAAGAAACCAAAAACAGTAGGCCCCCTAAAGTGTCCCTACTATCTGTAGAAAAAATTCCAGCCCAATCGGATTTACTGTGCCTGAGAAACGGGGACGATTAGGGGGTCGATTTTTAGCCATTGCAACCCCAATATCTCCTAGAAAGAAGCATTTGGGAATTTTGAGTCTATGGCAACTTTTAGTCTCCACATCGAGATCTATCAGCTGTGAAAGTTTCAAATTTTTCTGATGAGCCGTTCTCGAGAAACCCCGGAAAGGGGGGGGGGTGTCCCCTTAAAAGAAACTGCTTTTCTATGAAACAACATAATATTCAATTTTTCTTTTTTAGAAATCAATTTCATTGTTGTTTTTTTAACACAATAAAACACTCTCAGTTTAATCATGACTTTTAGAAACAAATCTAAGTACTATCAAAATAAACTACATAA